TTGAAAAACAGATCTGGCTGCAAAATGAACTAACCATCCTGCAGGAAATTCCAAGTGTTCAAGATTTTATTACATTCCAAACTGGAACAACATCTTAAACCTCACAAGGTAATGAGAATGGGAATATTCTGATTTGGGAACATATTACCACTGCCAGACCTCTCTCCATCTACCAACACAACTCATGGGGAAAGGGACCCCGCCAGCTGACAGCGGGTGGGAGGATGGAAATCTGGATCCAGACTCACAAAGGAAAGCCTTATTTGGAGCTGGGAGGACACCCAGTGCTGCTGAGAGATTCAGGAAAGCCAGGAACCTTGCAGCCCAAAGGGGCACAAAGTAAGGCGGGTCACGGTGCCCACACTCCCTGCCAGACAAGCTGCTGAGGGTTCCCAAAGCTTGAGGCCATCAAGGTCACAGTGAGCTTTCTGCCTAGGAGCCAGCACACCTACCAGGAGCCAGGCAGAAGTGACATCCCACCCGGCAGGTAGAGTGGGCCAGAGGCACTCTTCCCAGCTTTGCATCAGAATTTAGTCAGGATCTTCTCATTCTTCAGAGGTCCAAACTTTCTTACAAAGAAGGTGTCCTATCAGAACATCTGTTGAATGTCTCTAGCTCTGAAGGAAAATGAAAACCCTCTACTAAAACACACGGTGTCGTGAAATGGTTGCTGTCTGGCAGGAATTGCCCTCGAGTTTCAGACAGCACTTGGTTCTTGAGCTAAGTATGTCACTCAGAAAAGAAAACAAACTCGTAACTTGCAGTACTAAAGTACAGAAGTACTGGCAGTATTAAACTAGAAAGTAAAACAGAACTGTGGCCCAAATGTTAGAGACACTGTAAAGCAGTGTTGTTGCTTGCTGCTGCTTTGAGATTTAGTTTTACATTATTGGCAACCTGAAGTGTTTCAAGATCTTGAGCTGGGCTCTCCAAAAAAAATTTTGACTAAAAATCAGAACAGTTTAAAAAACAGCATTTGGCCTCCGTTTTGTTTGCCTTCTAATTTTGGAACTTGTAGTGCTCATGGTTTCAGATTTTGCCTGGAAATATGAGAGCTGGAAGTTTACATTTTGAAGAAATGAAAGCTGGCATTTTTGTCATCACATGACTCCAAGAGCTGGGGCTTGAGGGAAAAACATAAAACATTGTCAGGCTTTCTACAAAATTGTGAGATTAGCAGCATCAGTTTTATCACAATTTCGGCTGCAAGGTTGACCTATTTTATCAACAGTGCCCTACTGAATATGAATTGCTTTATGAATTTTAACAACCATATTTCATCTTAAATATAGTTCAATTAAAGTGACATTCGTCACTGAGCTTCAAAGCAAACTATTCAATCATCATCCTGGGCTAGAGTTTTTCTTCGAGTACGTGCAAGGAGTGAACTGCACGACCCCTCAAAACTTTGTGTCTCAGGCACCCCTTTCAAAGCAGAATACGATGCACACCCATTGCCCGTCCTGGGGACTAGAGCTCAGCATCATGAGAAAGGACCATCCAGCCTTTCAAGTTTCTTTCCCCCTCTGCCCCTATGACGTGACAGTTACACAGTCCCAGACTTCACCATGTTCTAGAGCAAGGGCACCAGGAAGTAGATTGTGGCCTGACAAAAGACGAGGAGGTCACCAGGAGAGTTCTCCTGGGGCCCTGAAGGACAGAACCAGAGTCAGCCCACGAACTTGCTGAGCCGTACTTGGTGTTTGCACGCTCTTTCCTCAGCCTGTTCTACAGCTGCAGATCGCTACAGAGTTGTTCTGAAACACAGCCTGAGATCTTTTGGGGCTGCTGGTGCACAAGAGTAGACAAAACACGCATTCCAGTTTCATTTCTGGTAAAATAACAAGACCGAGGTGTGTGGGAAAGAAGACCCCAAATATTCAGCAAGCAGAAACTGTTAAAGTGAAAACCTTTCCAACACACACACACACACACACAGGTTAATAGAACAGAAAGCAGTGGGCATGGGAGGATGCATTCCAAAGTGGCATAAAATCAGATGGCGGGAGGTTTAGTCAATGATTCAGAGAAACTCAAACCTCTTCAGAAATTAGGTCTAGAACATCCTGAAAAGCAGAAAAAAAGATTATAAACATTTGCCAAAACACAAAATCCCACCTAGATCACATTTTAGCATTTTGAGGTCATAAAGTCATATTTAATCTGATCTGCAACTTTTCTCCAGTTTAGCATTATTGCTTAACTCGGCTCTCTATACAGAGAAAAACTGCTTGCCTTCTGTGTTAGTGGCACCTCCTTCCAGCTAATTCAGAAGAGACAGACTTGAAAAAGACATAATGTCATTTAGAGACTCACATGCCAGGTGTATTTTTTTAAGCTCAAGGAACTAAAGCATCTTTCTTCAGCATCACAGACGTGGTTAGTTTAACTGAGCTGCAGTTACACTCAGCATTTTCAGTTCTCTAAGGAGGGGAGAGACATTGCAGTCTCTGCCTGGTTATGGATTGTGTGTGTATCAGTGATTGTGTGATGGGGTAAGGAGAGAGGGAACCGTTTCCAAGTTAGCATGCTTAGAGAAAGGACTCATAAATCATGGGGTCAGTCAGGTTGTTCTTTTTTTTTAACCTTGAGGTATTATGTTTTCAATACAATATTTCAAAAGCTTTTTTTTGTGTAATAATTTATCTGGAATTATGGCAACTCTTACATGCTTAGAAAAAATTGGCTCAAGTAAAACGATTCCTTTGTCACAAATAGGTTGTGTTCATAACTGCAGCCTAATCATTCAATTGCACGTAAGTCAAACAGTTATCCAGACTTTACAAGAATATTTCCCTGTCAATAAATCTAATGCTATTTAAAAACTTCAGGCCAATGTGACAGGAGCCTGTTAGATTAATTACGGCAAGGTCAGAAAAGCTGAACTCACATCTACATTCATGTCACAATTTTGTTCCACCTACCATAACCTGACTGTAAACTCACTGACCATTTTAAACACGGGCAAGTTAGGGTGACTTCATTGTTTTCATTTACAAACAAAGGAAGATTTCTTCAAAAATTGTTTCTTCTCCAACAGTCAAGTAATTGAGGAGAAATGTTTTGCTTTGTATTCACTGTCAACAAGGATTTTTTTTTATTTTAAAACGTTTTTTTTTCCTATCACAGTGACTTCACAGTTACTGGACTGCAACCACAGTTCATGAGACTTCAGGACCATACAGGCACGGAACTGTCCAGACTGCTTGCCCAGTATAATCAAAATCTCACTACAAACAGATCATCTCTGTGGGAATGAGAGGACAGGACTGTCTCTCTGCCTGTTTAACTCTTGACCTTTATCGTCTGACCATCCAAAAGGAAGGTGCCCCAAATCTGATGGGGTTTGTGTGAAGTGGACCCTGACGGTGAAATTCTGACCTCAGCAGGGTCAGTATTTCATCTGAAATCCCTTGAGACAGACCTCCAAATCATTTCTTAGGCGTGCAGCTTGTATCAGATGGTAGCTAGCTGACTTTCATTTACTACTAGCACAGGTCAAACTTGGACCAGGGATCAAGAGATGAAAGGCTCTATATCTCATTATCAATAACCAGTGTTCTCCACTACCCTAAAAACGACATACTTCATTCTTATCTACAAGGCCTTTAAACTTAAAAGGGTTGAGGTCAAATTATGTTACTTCAATTTATTTTTATTCACTGCTTATAAAACAACTTCCTCTCTCACTGCCATAGCTAAACGCTAAAAACGTAAATATTTTCCATTCTATTGTAGTGGTTCCGCTATTGTTTTTCTTTTAAAGTTTTATTAGAGATGCAGCAATAAAGAAAAATCCCTCCCACACACAAACTGAAGAAGAAAAAAAAACAGTACCGAGGTCAAGGCCAAACGAGGCCTTAGCAATCTCAAAATTATTTTCAGCAAAGAGCATCTTGTACAGAAGCTGCCCTGTAACAGAGGGGTGGACATTCCCCAGAAGTTTTTCATAGTTATACAAGTCCTGATACTTGACAGAATATGCTCTGAAATGATAGAGCCCGGTTTTCTTCTAGTGTGAAGCCATACAACTCCTCTGATGTTGCTGGAATTAGGTTTTCTTAGATGGGTTACAGTTATGGTTGATAATTTTAGGTAATTAATTCTGAAATACAAAAGAGAAGCTTTGGAAGGAAAATCCTGTTTTTACTGAATAAGGAGAACGTAGTATCCACTTCCACAGTGACTTGCAATGCTCTACACATAACTGCATACTTAAACAGCCAGAGATTTCACCACGATCCTAGATATCTGTAAGATGTCAAACTCCTCCTTTGTTATTCTGTGAAAACCTTCACAGGCAAACTGATTTGCATTGTTCCCAAAACAGGGGCATGCACATATGCACGTGGAAGAAAAGTAATGAAATACAGTCAATGGCATCAAAAGAAACTTGTGAATACGTTAAGGAAGAAAGAGGTTAAATAAATTTTACTGGTTATGCTGGGTTAACAACTTTTTCTACCACAGGGAATAAATCCATAGATACACAGATACACAGCTGCTCTCCTGAATCTAACCAACCTTTTGACCAGCTTCTCATTCAGACAATAATTTGCCCCAAATGTTGAAATTTTCCAGACTTCCAGCACCTGGGGCAGAGGGAAGGAGTTACACTCTATTACTGAGGAAAACTGCTTCAGCAAAACCTCAAAAACAGAGTTGTAGGACAACAATTCCAAACCATCTCTTTCTGGCAACACTTTTGCCACTCCTGATGAAAGAGGATTTGGTCTTCCTAACCCTTTTTTGCATGACCAGCTCCTCCCACATCTGGTTCTTGATCACATAGGAACTGTGTTAATCATACAAGACCTTCCAGAAACTGACCTTTACTGATTAATGACAGGTAAAATCCTCATTTGTTTCCATAAATAAGATGTAAGCCATCTGCAGAGATTCTTAAAGAAACTATGGCAATAATAGCTGAGGGAAAGCATAGGGAAACAAAAAGGAGAAAAGAGATATTGCAGGGGCATGGGAGGAGACGCATCTCTGACCTGGATCTGTTGCTGAAGAAGGTTAATTTTGTGTTGCTGCTGCAGGAGCTGCTGCTGTTGTCTTGCAATCTGTGGAGAAATTGCACAGAAGAAACATGAGATGTGTATCACCATTCCTGGAGTCAGTCCATAGGAAACTTCCACCCTGCCTGGTTCTTTAAAGCTCTCTGTTAAGCTAAGGAACATTAAAGTACAGCCTGGACTGCTGCTGAAGCAAGGGGCATATGTTCGGGAGCAATTCACAGCTAATACCAGTGTGAAAGGGAATTCTATGGAAAATGTTGTGCTGGATATCAGGAGAAGGACTGATGCAAAAAATCTGTCTGAAATGGTACTGCTAAAATTCACCAGCAGGACGAACACTACTGGCAGAGCAACTGGAAAACAGCAGGAGAAGGCAGAAAAGACCAAAAAAATTATGATGGCCCATAATATTCTTCTGTTTGGCACCACTTGTTCAAAAATTTAAAAAAAAAAATGGAAATCTGACACCCTGGAGGAAGGTATTAGTGTATGTATTTTTTGATGCAGAAACAGGCACAAAGAGACTGGAACTGAGTTTGGGAAAATCACTGACTCTTCTATGCGTGTATCAACTGCAAGGAACTAAGGGGGCAGTGCAAGGCCATACAGCTCAACACTGCAACTGGTTTATGGAAGCTGATGGAGTGGTCCTAAGTCTCCTCTCACAGCCACGTGCATTTTCCATAAGGACTTCCACTCTCCCTCTCTGTTGACTAAATGATTGGGAATCCTGCTGTAGACAGATTTTTATACACAGTGAAGGAAAAAAGCAGACAGTAGCAGAACCAAATTAGAGTTCTAAAGGCTGAACAGAGATAAACCATTATATACTTCAAACTTCAAGAGCAAATTTAAAAACCTTCATCGGAGTCATCACAAAAGCTCTGCTCTCATGAACAGCTCATGCAGCAGTACGAACATTAGAAGGAGCATTGCTCTTCCCCTGTGGTATGTGTACACATATCAGGGTCAGCTGGGAACTTATACATACTTACTGGGAGGAATTTTGTGCATTCTTCCCCTCAGGTATTTTCTTTTACTTCTATTATTAGACTATTAGCATAAGAAACACTCACTCATAGTTAACTCCACATCTAAAAGATTAAATAAATGTTCCCCTTCTGGAGCTTTTCTTTAAGCAACCAAAATAATTTTCATCAATACATTTTTTTCAAAGTTTGGTTATTTTAATTTCTATACAATACAGAAGTATACATCATTTCTTCAATTAAAATAAATCCTAGTTATCCTAACAATAACACTGCAGGATTTCTTACTGGGTTTTCCATTCTCTCCATTTTCTTTTTCACTTTGAAATCACTCAGCCTTCCTGTAGCAGTATGATTTTAAAAGGTAGGGCAAAGGAAATAGCTCATTTGGGATGTCCCCTACAGAAGGAGTCTTGCCAATTCCACACTTGCACCTTCATCTATCTTTACCATGTAAACAACAGCATGATATAAATTCTCTGGTTTAATAGGTAAGTCACTTCTGTTCTCCCTATGTGGGATTTCAGGCGTGAGGCCAAAACGCGCATTGTTTAAGATGAAGTTTTTAAATAATTAAAAATTGGGACAACCAAGGCTTAAATGTCTGAAGGTATCAGCAGTGGTCTAGAATCTTAAGACTTGCTTGTTAAAATACCAGAACTGAAGCATGACAACTGTGACAGATTCCAAAGAATTCTGTGAGTTTCATAAAATTCACACAGTTGCAATTCTATGATATAAACTCAAATTTTATTCCAAGCTGTAATAAATGGTCATGCAGAACAGAATACTTTCAGATAAGAAGTATCAACATGGACTGCTGATAAAATTTTAAGCCAGATGTCTAAGTATTCTTTGCTCACATTCAGGTACAAAAATAGACATTTGTTTCTGTTCAACCTGTTAGATAAGTTATGTTCTTGTCTAAAATGTCCTATGTCCATGTATGTTCACTGGAATTACTCATATGTGAAAATGTGGTTGCATTTGTAGGAAAGGGCACATTTGCAAGAGCTGAAAATCAAGACTCTCAAGTGTAGAAGAAAAAAAGTCACACTTGTTCACTGACTTTATATCCTTCTCTGCTTCTTTCTACAGTTGGCAAAACCAACCTTTTCATTTCTCACGTTACAATGCAAGCGCTGTACTTTGTTCCTTTTATACCTATTCAGTATTACTGAATTCAAACAGGATTGGAAGATTATTCAGGACTGAATTTACTTGCTTGTTTACACTTAGTTAAAAAAACCAAACAAACCCAACAAACCAGTACTGGAAGAAAATACCTCCAAAATGGAAGGTTCATAAGGTGTGGAAGGTTTCTATAACAAAGAATATCGCTTTACATATTTCAGATTAAATCATTCTTTTGCTATTGTTCAAACTTTTTCACCTAGGAAAACAAATTGAAAAAAAAATTTTGGGCGCAGAGCAAATTTTAAGAGTACGATGCCTGAAACATAAACTACTGGAAAATCCTCTAAGAAAATTATTTAAGCTGAAAGCCACTGTAATAATCACTCACCTGTTCCTGTTGCTGCTTAGCCAGCTCCATTTGCTGGCGTTGTTTCTCTATCTGTGATGCAGCCAGCTTCTTCTGTTCATCATGAGCTGCTAGCAGCTGTTCTCGCAAACTGGTCAGCTGATTGATCATACCCATGAGCTGCCTTTCTTTCTCAGCGAGGCTTTCTGGAGTCCCTGGGCATCATATGGTGGGGGAAAAAAGAAAAAAAAAAGGGTAGAAAGAAGAGAGGAAATTTAGAGCCAGCCAGGTTTTTATTTTGCAGCTTTACTGTAAGCAAAGTTTCAGCAGAACAAAAGAGCAGCAGCATATTGCAATATACTGCACACTAAGACCTGTTTCTCTACAGAAAAATGAGCAACGAAGGATAATTCTGTATACAGGCTTTGATCTGGTGTCCCCCTTCAATGTTTCCTTGTTCTTTCATCTATTCTTCCATTGCCCTTTTATTGGATTAATAAGGGGGAAAAACACTGCCTGTTTTGAAAGAGTTTCAAGTTTTAAACACTGTTTACGTTTCCTGTGGATCAAAATCAACACTTCCAGTTTTGAAAGACAATTATATTTTTGCCAGAAATTTATGACAGAGATACAGCTTCTGTAGGTGTCAAAGCACTGGTGTAAGGCGTGTATTAACATTCCTCTACAACCAAGGAAAAGGAGAGAAGTCTCCTGGGTATCTCTTGAGGCTCCCCATGGCCTTCTCACTGCTACCAGTGCACAACAGCTGTCAGGATGCTGTTATATCATCTACAGCTGCCTTGATCAGGATGAAATGATATAGTACTTAAATTACCAGTAACTACTATCACTGTTACTGCTATCAACATGTATTTTTAAAGGAAAAAGTCTTGTATAAACGTATCTGAAAACCTGAGTCAACAAGAGTGGCCGTCGCTCTCGTTTGTACATTTGTACTGTCATTAGATGTTTCTTATGGGAGAGTTCAGCAGACACAGACAGAGGAACCCACTACCTCACTTTCATAACCATTTTGTAAAAATGTTTCATCTACCCAGAAGGACAGTGGTTATAAGGCAAGAGAAGCAAAAAATTCCAGGAAAAATCAAAAGCTATGAATCATACACTACCAAAAAAAAAAAAAAAGGTTCTATTAATATATGCAGGATCATTTGACTTTGAATTTAAAAGACCTGAAAATATGTGTAGCAGCTAATCCACAGATATCCCCAATACCACCACACCCTCTCACATGAGTCAGATCCTATGAAACCCTTTCTAAAAACCTTTAGGAACGGATTAAGGCTATCAGTGTCAATGCCTCCTCTGAAAATAGCCTGCTTTTGGGACAACTCTGCCACGCAAACCTCTCTCAAACACAGGAAGCATTCTTCTGCCAATGTCACCAGTGCTCTCCAAGTGAAAAAAAAAAAAAGGAGAAAAATTGGCGACTATACTAAACATGTTCCTAGCCAACTATCAGTCAGACATGGAAAAGAGCTACTGGTAATAGCTCATTTAGCCTCCCCCCCTGCCAGTGCAGGAATGTTCCCTACAATGTATTTACTACAGCTTTCTAGATTGGATTGAAATGTCTGAAATGGTGAATCATCCAATGCTTGCTTTGGAAGACTGTGCCACAGCCTTAGAGGTGTCACTGGGAGGGCTCTTTGCTTGATAGTTAGCTTAATTTACTTTCACTTAATTTCAACCTTGTGCTCTCAAGCAACATCCCATTTGCTAAGTTAGCCAAGTCCAATCCCTTAAATACATTTGTAGACAGCCATACAGAAGTGGAAAACCAAAAAGAATCAACATCTTCATATAAAGGAAATGCAACTACATTAATTTTTTTATTAAGATGCTAGAAATTTCTGTGAAAATATTCTCACCACATAACAAAGAACTACAGCAGAATATTCTCAGATATAGTCTCCAAAAAAACTGTGGTACAAGCTGGAAACTTGAGAAACACACTGAAACAGAAACCGTAGGACTTTAAACCTGCTCTGTTAAAAGCTGTGAGAAAGAATGGAAGCCAGTGCTAAAACACTAACACTGCTGAAGAAAACACTTCTAACTATGATTTTTATTTCCAGCATTGGAGACAGAGAACTGCTACAAGTAATGCATTTGCTACTTGGTCACGGAATTAATCAGAAATTTCTACTGCCACTCTTCCACCCTTTATTTCTTTTTCCAGAGGAAAAAAGGTACAGTGTTTCCAAGTGGAATAGAAGAATTGTTCTAGAAGGCAGTCCCTGCCTTGTCGTGTCCATGGCTAACATGTGAGTTTACTCTAAGGAAGACTTTCAGTACACTGATACTGCCAGTATAACTGGAACATCTGAAAACTAAATATTTTTTATTTCCTTATTCAGCAGATACTTTATTCCAAACTTCCACTGAGGGGAGGGTGAGCGCATGAGAGAGAGAGAGGACGAAGGATCTAGAGAGAGAAGGAACACAACATTGGCTCAGTCCTCAAGTTAGGGTAAGCAGAAAGAAATCACTGTCAAATAAACTGTTCAACAAATACACTGACACACATCAAAGATCTTCAGCCAGTACCGGTTCATCAGTGTATTTTGAGCTCCTACAGTAGCTTTCAGTTGGGAATCAAAAAGCACTTTGTAAAGTTAAATTAATCCCCACCACACCTCTGAAAGGGGGGGAAAATGTTTCCATATGTGCAAACTGACAGACAAAGGGGTCACAGAGTTAGTTACCAAAAGAGGCAGAAAAAAGCCACGTTGATATCCAGCTCTGTGTGTCAAGGCTCTGGCTGCACTTTCCAAGAGGGAGAAGAACACTCCGGGTGCCACTGCCCTGACCATGACACTGAACGTGGCACAGCCACAGGGCCATCCACCTACTGTGCTGCTCCTTTAATCCCACTCTGTAGAGCAGCAAAAAAACTTCTTCCCTCTGGAAAAATGCAGCTTTACTGAATTGCAAGAATAAGAAGAAAGTCTGGATGAAGTACTGCATCCATCTCTGGGATCCTCAGCACAGGAAAGACATGGACCTGTTGGAGGCTGTTGGAGGAGGTACAGAGGAGGCCATGAAGATGATCAGGGGGCTGGAGCACTGCTCTTATGAGGAAAGGCTGAGAGAGTTGGAGCTGTTCAGCCTGGAGAAGGCTCCAGGGACACCTAATAGCAGCCTTCCAGTACCTAAAGGGGCTTATAAAGATGGGGACAAGCTTTTTAGCAGGGTCTGTTGCAACAGGACAAAGGGTAATGGTTTTAAATTAAAAGAGGGTCGATTTAGATTAGATATAAGGAAGAAATTTTTTACAATGAGGGTGGTGAAACACTGGAACAGACTGCCCAGAGAGGTGGTAGATGTCTGATCCCTGGAAATGTTCAAGGTTGGGTTGGACAGGGCTTTGAACCTGGTCTAATGAAACGTGTCCCTGCTTAAAGCAGGGCAGTTGGACTTGATGACCCCTAAAGGACCCTTCCAACCCAAACTACGATTCTATGAACTAAGAGCAAGCAGGCAGTGCAATGAAGTGCCAATGCAGACACTAGAGTCACAGGCACATTGCAGCCTTGCAGCTGGTGACAAACCCACCAACTCAGTCTCTTCATTATTACTTAGTTTTAAAAGAAAATTTGAGATGCCCAAAGGAGGTGCTCAGAAATTACAATGCATAATTCCTTTGGTGTATAAACTGGAGTGGAAGTAGTCTGACAAAAGGCAGACTTCTTGCATTATATTTCTTGGGCAATTTCAGTTTGCTAATAAACCAAAAGGGAAAATTTATCAGCATCAACTTTTTAAAAAAATCTCCTGCTGGAGAACACTTTCTGGAAAACATGGCTTAGTAGGTACTTTATTTTCATGTGTATAAGTCATCCTTCCAGTAACTGGAATAGTACTTAATGATAATTTCAATTCTTTAAAGTAATAATTCCTTGCAAAGTAAGTACTTGGATAGCCATGTTCTCAAGTGACCTGCACAAAACCAGAGGTAAGAGAGATCAGATGTGTGGGTCTACTGGGAGATGCTGAGTTTTGGGGTAGATCTCCCTGTGCCTTTCCCACGTATCTATATAAGCCCCACTGACGATGAATCACAGAGAATTTGGAAGTTTCTTGCAGATAACTGATGACCTATAAAAGTGTGAAAATTAAAAAGAAGAAAAAGTACTTGAATGAGACTGTAATAATGAAGTGTTCGTGTTTAGTTTCAGTTTGGTAATTTTTATGTTACTCCTATTACCTAGCACATTTTTTCTATAATTACTTTCATGAAAATGGCCAACAAAACTGCCATTTCACAGGTGCCACTATCATGGAGCATTTATGAGTGGCAGTGTTTGTGTATCATAGGAAGGCCAAAGGATGTTCACTGTTATTTATTAAATGGGTGAGGTGAGGGCATCGGTGGAGTCACCACTTAAGTACAGTCAGTGATAGGAATTATTCCTGGTGCATTAAAATGTACTGCAGAGTTGAGAGTGAAAGTTGCCATTTTTGTATCCTTTTCTAGGTGCTGTAGATTGTGGGCAAGCAAGGATGGTGGACTTCTGTCCTATCCTCACTATTTTCTCTCCGTTAACCTGCATGAGATCTAAACCTGTATCATGGTGTGAAGTGTCTTGGCAGCTATGGGATTTCCATTTTAAGAATTCTGTAGCTTACAGGGCAAAACATGTCAGTATTTTAAGTAACAAAACCAACAGTTTCTTAAATTATGCTACTCAGGAATTAATGAACTATCCCCACGGCTGCTAACACTGCTAGAACTCAGAAGGTGGTGCAAACCCCCAGCCCCTGCAGCTACCTTCAGTCACTTTGTTACTAAACTCACTTGGAGCTGCTCCAAGCAGGACAGAATTGGGAATGGTTCTGGAGCTGGCCTGTACTCTACGTGCACTATCCACACAGTTGCAGTGCTCTCACTCCAGCCATCCAGCGTGGCTGGGAGGCAGAAAAAAACCCCAAGTGTCCATTATTGCAGTGTACAACTTGACAGCAAGCTAGACCACTTCACACAGGTATTGAGCGAGGAGTAAAAGTAGAGTGGCTTACGTCAATGACTGCCTCAAAAATTACTCTTAATTACCGTCTGATCCACAACAAATAGATATTGTGCATTTTATGTTTGACAAAGCTTTTAACCACCAGGCCACCTGCCTTTCAGGAGATTGCTGTAGGTGCTCATACCTTTCTCTCTGTACTCTACCACCGCAATGGTAAAATG